CTCGTCCTACGCTTTGTAGCCGAAGAAAGGCGACGGCGAGAGCTAGACTCTGTTCCCCTTCCGCGACGGACGGTAGCTGGATCAGGCTCACAACCAAGAAAGCCGCAGTACTTCCGGTGGGCATTAGCGCTGGAGGAGCATGTTAAGCCAGCCATGTCTGTATGAGGGAATCGAGGCCGGGGCGTTCCATGTGATAGCGTGTTCGCATGATGTTGATATGAGATTGAATTTGCGCCGCTGGCATACTGGTCTCGAGTAATTGGGCAATGACTTCTTGGCGTTGGCCATGGATTGCCACCCCCAGACAATCCATTCCTTGGTGAGCTCGCAATAGTGAATGCGGCTTAGTTCGGGGGAGCTAGTTTCAACGGCTATAGGGACGCCAGAGGAGCTGTAGTCAAGCTGTCAGCGTTCAGAGATCGTAAATGGTCGAGAGCGCACCGGACCCAACAGAAGTGCTGGGCTCTTCCGGCCGTTAAACCCTAGCTCCGGACAAACCGATTTCAGGGTGATAGACCGTTAAGAAGAAAAGAGAACTCTGCTCGTTCCCCCTATCCCCCTGCCGTCATCTCCGTGTTCAGTTACGTTGCCGTGTAAGACTCACATCTAGTCGCCGTAATATTGACCAGGACCCTGCCCACTATACGCGGTACAAGTGCCCCTTTGAAACGGAACTTCCCTATGGTTTAGGATCGACTAACCCATGTCCAACCCCGCTTACTTGGAATCTTTCACAACTTCGATTGAGCATGGAGATGATGACTTCTTTGTCCAAATTTTACGTTGTCAAATCGGTTTGACACAATTTTGCACTAGAATCATCCATGTAACACAGCTTAAGCAGAGGGACGATCAATAGACTAAGACGAGCAAGGGCAAGAGTGAGAGTGAGTGAGTGTACGGGTGAAATCCAGGAAGAGAGTAAACAAAAGGGAAAGGCGATAGGAGAAATAAAAAGAGAGAGAGAGAGAGAGAGAGCAGAGTTTTTAGCAAAGCTGATTGCGGCCTTTGGCAGGCCAAGTGATCAGAATCCCTGTAGAAAAAGCAGTGAGAAGACGACCTGAGTAAGAGATGGCTTCCACACAGACGGAAGAGAGATGACAGTGAGAATGAAGACGAAAATTACCTTCAATGTCTTCAGAGAAGTGCCATGTCTAGTCCTGTCCGTCACGGCCGCGACGCAGATGAGCCATTCAAGTCTGAGGTCTGAAAGTTCTTGGCGTAGGATACATACGGGAAGCCAACGTGCAGTTCCTCTGTAGACATGAAAGGTTTACTCTCGAACAGAGTATCTACAATCCAAGCAACTATCACACACTGAAGCAGGCACAAGAAATCAGAATCATCATAAGAACACCTTCTCATCACACCCATCCAATCTAAGTCTTGGGCCCAATGGCTTCAGAATCACTACCAGAAAGGACACAACTTCGTCGAGCTAAAACCAGCTTACCCAGGTTGCGCGCTCTGAAGGCCTCTTCCGCGTCATGAAATCCCGAAGAACATCCGCATGACAATTGCGTGATAGCCGCCGTCTCCTTGATCCGCGCGTCCGTCCCGCATCCATGGTCATTCACTGAGGCTCCATAAGCAGATTTGCGGCAACGTAATCTCGATGCATAGCAATTCGAAGAAGAGAGTGCGAATCTGAACCCGCTTCAAGGATATGATAGCCTGAAAAATCATTCTTGCGGTGACATTGACAAAACCATACCGAATATGCTGCCAGGGGTGAAGCTCGAGCAGCAGCTATAGAAGCTCAGCGGGCTTGCCGGGTATCTTGAGATCAAGCGGTTCCGGGGCACATCTAGAAAACTCGCGGGTCATATTATTGAGGAATCGTAGTCGTGGATTGCATTTGATGGTAATGATGGCGACTCCTATGTGCATGTGGTGGCGAGGAGGACCACCGGCCATGGGCGGGGTGGAACTGGTGCAAGTTGCAGATGAAGAGGCGAGCGGTGGAGGAATCCGAAGCGAAGGGCTCATCAGAGACTACCACAAAAGATACATCCGATATAGTTGAAGCGAAGGAGACGGCGAACAGACCTAGAGTAAGAGAGGCGGTGAAAAGAATTGAAGAGGCGAAGTTGACGAGGAGAGTCGAAGAAGCAACGAGATTCGAGGAGGCGAGGAGGACTGACGAGGCGCAGAAAGTCGAAGAGGAGGAAAAGACTAGAGAAGTCAAAAGAGTTGAAGAAGAGAAAGTAGGAAAGAGAAGTAAATAGACGGAGAAGGAGAGCCGCATGAAGGAGATGGAGGACGCCACAACCCAGGCGCTGATGACTCTCACGAACCTACGAATCTGATACGTGGACACCCATGGTCTGTTCCGACGTGCCACCGAACTTGACGCAGCAAAAGGCCTGGCTGAGAGTAACTCTGGAAGAGAGAACGGACAATGGGAACCAAAGGCTAGAGACGAGTTTGAAGAAGGGATCGAGAGTGTGACAACGACTCCAGGGGATGTTCTCAGCGGGGACAACAAGTCCGTATTGGAATAGGTGACCAGCCTATCGGCCGATCTGCTAGTGACCCTCGAGAGGCTTCTGTAGGAAAAGGAGACGATAGGGCGAAGGATCGGCTCGCGATAGCCCGCAAGTGGAAGGGTGTCGATGGATTGAGATGAGCCGTAGACCATCTGGAAAACGAAATACAATCCAATGTCGCGCTCTGCAGCTGGGAGGGTATGGGTGAATCCGGATCTGGGAGACACGAGGATCGTCATCATTCCACGGCTCGCTCATTCGATGCTAGGCCTCAACGTTGAGCGTCACAGCGTGAGGCACCACCCGAGAGCATCCCTGTACATCTTGACGTCGGCAGCGTTGAGACGAGCATCGGCCGAGCCCTTGCCTTCACTAATGCGTTAGCAAGGACTTTGCGGCAGAGATGGTGGCATTGGTGATTGGAAGATTGTGCTGCACCCACTGATCAATAGCCCGGAGTTGTGTTTGTTCCGCGTCATTGGTATCTGTTGAATCATGGCTTCAGCTGTGCAGGACGCTTCGTCTGAAGCCCCCAACAACAGTTCCGAACTCATGGTATATGGAGGAGACCGCCAGCTTGTGAGAACATGAGCTCGGAACTCTTGCTTGTATTTCCCCAGCATTCCAGTAAAGTCGGGAGATGTTTGGCACTGGATTGACCGTAGTAGGCCGCGGCGTTGATGGCGCGAATAAGCGCCTTTGGCTACGGTTGCTGCTACCACTGCTCGGGATTGTGCGGCAATACCTCCGGTTACAGGGGCGCCGCTGCTGGGTTCACCAGTGCTTCAGAAGGCTCACCTTGAAGCAGTGCTGGTCCCAAATTCTGTTGCTAATTAAGCCATACCGTGAGCTGCCGTCTAAATCGCGAGGCAGAGCGGGCAGGCTGGTGAAGTGCTGTTATGTTCTGTCTTGTTCGCGGTGCGCACACGGAAGATCAGGACGCAGAGTTGTCCCCTTGCATTCGTCATGCTCTGGTTCCGGGACGATAGGAAGACTGGGCCCCCGTATCTGTCTTTCGACGCCGTCGCAACTTGGACCGAACGCCAAGATTGCTGCTTGTGTGCAATCTGATGGAGCATATGTGAGGTCGACAGTGGTCATGGACACCGCGCTGGACGCAGATGAGACAGGTTGTCTTGCAAACGGGTGGGCGGGAGCTTACACGGGGTCACAGGATGTGGTTCAAATGCTGCTTGCATGAAACGATCCGTCCGAAAAGGTCGTCGAAGGGGAGAAAACGGAAGAAAGCTTGTGGTGATGGTGCCAGAAGAGGTTGGGGGAGGAGCTTGGCTTTGAGCACGCACGCGCAGGGGCACGTTGCGGAGAGAGGTCGGCGCGTTGAGGAGGAGGGCGTTTATTCATGCAAAGGAGGCGTAGTCGTTGTCTTGGACTGCGTTCTAGAGAGACGAGGTGTCTGCTTGGAAAGGAACATTGTGCGTTTTGCGTTTCCGTAGCGGACGAAGTCTGATGGACATGAGAAGGCTCGTATGTCGGATCTATGCTCAAATCAGACTCACTGAGGACGACAATGTTGATTCCCGATGAGTAGAGGATTCCGGACGAGACGACTGCCTTGGGAGCTGAGACTTTGACTGAAGGGGTGACAGGGGTGGCTTGAGTGTCGCCATCACAGGAAGATTCGAGCCATTTTGAGGTGTATGATGGTCGACCTGACCGGAAGCTCGTTTGTTTGGCTTGTTCTTGGCGAGATGACTGAACATGACGAGATGCGCGCGGCATTTCCCCAGATGAGCCACTTGTTATTGCCCAATCGAAGAGATGGGAGGGACATGCACTTGAACGTGCTGCATGGTCATGTCAGTGAGAGACTGGATCAACAATGCGAATGGATTGAGACGATGCTATATAGTATCTCGGCGGTGTTGTTCTTGCACACGTTGTTCAGAGTTGAACCGTTCGATCTTGGGGTGTTGCTAATTGAGAAGGGAGGGCGGGAATCGACCAGGCGAGAGAGAGAGGTCGAGGTTGACAGATCAGGAGTGGAGAAAATACAGAGCGGAAAAGCAAGAGAATGCTTGAGAAGAGCAAAAAGCCGCGGATGATGCGTCGAAAGACCTGGACAGTCAGTTACTCAGATGAAAATGAAGAGAAGGGAATAAAAGAACAACGGTGTTAGTAGAGCAGATATCCGAGAGGTGGAGAACGAGAGCTGCCATTCTAAACATGAGTGGTAGGGCTAAACGAAGAGGACTCTTAATTCTACCAGAGAGTGCGTGGCAGGTAGAAGAACATCTCTGACAGACATGGTGAAAGTCATGGAGTTGAGAGACGAACGTCTATCCTATATGGCAGACCATATTAGCATCGGGTTGGAGTGGCAGTGGAAGCTGTGGAGTAGCAAGAGAGACAAACCATGGTGCCACTACCTTCCAGGACATGTCCATACTATTGTTACATGATCAACAACTCGGTACGTCCGAGATGATCTGGCGAGGCCCCAAAATCGCGGTCGGCTTGGGCAAGTGAGGTCTACCTGGCGGCTGCAGACGCCGGCGGGTTCTCTCTTGTCACGAAAGAAGGCTCCAGGTCACCAGTATCGCGCACCGTGTTTTGTTCGTCTCGTTCGTCTCGCTCGTTTTGTTCGTCCCTTTGATCTTGTTCGTCTCGTTCGCTTCATTTGTCTTTTATTTATCTCGTCTATCTCATTTATTCTACTCGTCTCGTCCGTCTCGTTGGTCTCGTCAGGATAGTATCGTCATTCTTTGCTCATTGCGTTCACGCATCGATGGCGGTTGCGGTCGGTTCTTCGTCGTCACCGCCATTATCGTCTTCGTCATAAGCTTCTCCGTCTTTCCACTCCGTTGCTAGCAAGTTGGCTTAGCGCTCAATGCCTTCCAATATGTTCAGAACGGTGAAACAACAAGTAACGCTCGTTGGACAGGAGAACACTCACTCAACAACAGACGCGTAGAGGTGCTTGAAATGGTTCTTCATGGCCTGCGACCGTCCAGACCATGCATTGTATGGTGACGGCGCACGGTTCGATGTTGACGTTATTGGACGTGTCCCGCTCAAGAGTTTCCCGTCGCCCACTGGCGGGACTGGTCAGCAATACCTGCGATGTTCTCCACGACATGCTGGCGGCCGCGGTCGACCTTCAGGTCAAATACTTCTGTGGCGTGAACTCTGATGAAATCGGCGTTTTCGTCTTGATGAAGACTGTGTATTTGGAGCTGGTCGAGATATTCAGGGCTTACGCAGACCTCGAAGAACTGCATATAGTAACGCGAGGCAGCAATCATGAAGATCCTTAGATAGAGATGCAGTCAGTCCAACGGCCCTCTTAGCGGTTGTTATACTTCGAGAAGCAAAAAAGTCTGAACTCACGTATGCTGCAGTCCCGCCCATTTCTGTGGCCTAGTCACCGCAATAGCCAATGCCTGGCCGATCAATTGTGCGAAACGCTCGTCGGTGAGGATGTGTCTGCCGCTGTCAATAGATGCCAGGTTCCGCTTCGTCTCGAGGATTGCGATGCGACCGTGGACGCGTGCCGAGTCCGCCACGAGAAGGAGGCCTCCATCGTCGATAGATGTATAAGAGATTCCTGATTCAAGTCTGCATTTCAGCGAAAGTCTATGGTCGTCAAAGTCGACATGATGCTCGTCGTCGGTCGGGATATTGTAGAGGATGTGCCTGATGACTGCGCTCGCAAATCGGTGTGTGAGATCCTCAGACAAAGCCGGATGGACAACGGACTCTTCCTCGTTGATGTAGGGAGGCGAAGAAGGTTGCTTGGTCGAAACGGAGGGGCTTGAGGAGAATAGCGGCTCGTAGGTGTTGGTGACCGTGTTGTTTGGTCTCGTTCGTTTCGACCTTCTCTGCTCGGGCAGCGATTCCGGTGAGCTATGCAGCAGCGGCGGTGCCCTTTGATTCTTCTCTGGTTCGGGGGTCAAGCGCGCGGGGGGTGAGCTTGTTGTTGAAGTGCCATGGCCGGCAAGCTCAGCATCGTCCTTGTCATCGCTTGCGTCACCTGAGTAGTCAGCATCGACATGCTGATGTTCCGTTTCGGCTTTACCTGTTTGACACAAACGATTCAGAGCAGCCCAGGTTGATCCCAGCGACGTGCCGTAGGCTTTCTGCAGCGCGTACTCGGATCGTGGCGTCGGTCGGTTAATGTTGTCACTGGGCTCGGGACCTTGGACAAGTCTCTCGAGGGCTGCCCGGGCATCGCCATGGTCTTGCCAGAAGGCGGATCTCGAGGGGAGACGGTTCTTGCTGTCGAAGTTGAAGACGGGCAGGTTCGTCCATTCCTGCAATGCCGGCAGGAGCTTCGTTTGAGGTTTCGGGACGAGAACGCGTAGTGCAGACAGTTGATGGCGGCCCCAATGGCTCGCACTCACCTCGTCTAAGCTCTCGAGCCAATCCTCCTTCTGTTGCGGTTCGCGAAGGAATGCTTTGGACGTTGTGACACTGTGGAAGTAGGGCTTGTGGTTGTACGTCATGTTGGGTCCATCGATTCCCACCTGACGACAAATTGCGGAATGGAGGGGCAATTGAGGTGTGGAGGGGTAAAGCTCCAAAAGGTACCGCCCACCTTGAAGGGCGGGGGAGCTCCAAGTGGGGCGCAGGAGCGGGCAGGAGCAGCGGGTAGAGTGGGGGCACAGTGTAGAGCGAGCTGCCCGACTTTGGGTGGACGATTAGTCAGCAGCCCTGGCACGCGCACCTTACCTTGACGCGCCTCTTCACGACGCGTTGGTCAATTGGGTCACGTGAGAGAAGACTTGCCCATTACATAATTGTAAATGGACGACATTTTTGGCACTGGAAATTGAAGGGTGAGCGGAATCCGTCCGCACCTGAGTGGCACAAATTCCCTTTGTGCATAAGGTTCCTTGTGCACACCACTTCCTCTTGTGCACCGTTGCCCCCTGCGCACCTTTGGTTCCCATACGTACCTTACTTACCTTATGTCACTCTTCTCTGTTCACAACTCCATCCCGGCGCATCACCAGTTCACGATCAATCCCAGCAGTCACGGAAACCACTCTGCCGGACATGGCAACACCAGAACCGCCCCCCAACCTGGCAAGTCTCTCAATACGGCGCATCCTCCACAGCCATCCACGTGAACGACTGCAGGTGCACCCATTGTTATGGACCTCTCGCCATCTCCATCTACTGCGCTGCGATTTTGTTGAAGCACTGCCAGGGCCCCTCTCCCCCCCTCAGTCTCCATCGACGTCACCGGCACAGCGTCCACCTCTTTCCGACAAGAGTCTAAACTCTGCCGGAAATCTACCTAAACACCAGAGCAACAAGGCCAACCACGAGAATACTGTCCCCTCGCCGCATCGACTGCCGTCACCACCACAACAGCAAACAGTCCCACCGGCCTCCAAGCATGAGCAGTGGGCGAGGACTCTGGCCAGGAGCCACTTGCTCACTATGAAGGAGAGTGCCCTGACGAAGCTGCTCCCAACCCCTCTCTTCAATGCCCGATCGACCAGCGACCACACGATCCTCAGCTTCGAATCAAAGCGAATTCGCTTACCTTGTCTGACGCTTGCTGCCAACACCTCAACTACACCAGGCTGTATAGCCTACCTGGACGCATCCAGCCTCCGTGCCGCTCGGAGCCGCTTCCTCAAGCAATCATGTGGACACTGGAATCGCATCACCCGATCCATCTACACTGCTCGTCTTGCCGCCCTGACGCCTGCCCAAGGGGCGCACGATCCATACATTGCTGCCATCATCATTGCCGCTGCCCAGCACCACCGACAGCGCTCGGCCTCCCATGGCATGGCAAGCATCCAGGTGAGCATACCCTCGTTTCCCGGTGCCTCTCTGCATTCAATACGCTAACAAACGACCCAGGTTCATGTTATCCTCAGCGATGACCACGACACGCCACAGCTGCTTCTGTATATGGCCAATGTCTCGCCATCATTCCTCGACAAGTTCACACACACCCGACGTCGTCCGTTGCCGTCCGCAGCGTGTCAAGTCTACACCCGCGCGATACCCTACCAACCATTCGAATCCTTCCAACAGCGCTTCCATGAAGCCCTCCTCCCTCCTCCACCAGGCAGTGGTGCCGACCGAGACAGCGTAGACATGGAAACAGATGGCCATACTATACGGAAGCGTGGGCGCCTGGACCAGGATGAAGACGACATTGATGAAGAAGATGGCGGCGCGTCACGAAAGAGAGCACGCGTGAGGCGAGAATGACGGGAGCTCGGGAGTCTGCTGTTGAGAAAGACGGTGATTATGTTGTATGGGAACGATGGCATCAACGACACTTTGGGATTGGGAGATGGACATGTGGCGCGAAATGATACCCTGTAGCCAACATCCGGCTGCTCTGATTTGTTTGTTTTCGGCTGTTGTTATCAATGAAGCTTTCTTCTTTCACAACCCATTCAGTGCTCCTCGCAAATGTCGTTTGGTTCTCAAGTGCGGCCGCGCCATGTTGCCGTCATCCAGACTTGCTTGGGCCTTCCAGCGACCAGAAGCGGATCGTTTTGAGAATGCACCGCTGATGACAGTCAGTCTCAAGTCTCAAGACTTACGAGCTTGCTGTGCGAGCGAATAGTCACTTAACACTCTGCGGGCTAAGAGTTCGTCTAGGGAGAGGCGGGTTCTCGACGCGTCGCAATGCCGTAAACCTCGCTGACGTCAATCCCTCGGCCACCTCCGTCGATTATCTAGTATCACGCCGATGAAGTTTCTATAATGACTCTCTCATCTAGACCAGGGGAACAATAAGCGAAGCCGTGGTTTTTCTCGCGATACTACACCCCCACGGCACGGGGTCGTTATCTTTGCCAACTACTTTTTCGGGAGCGTGTGCCCATCGGTACGAAAGATACCGCTATCTAGGCCAACCGCCGCAGGCGCAAAATGTTGTGAATCATCGCAATCACAATGCTTGATTGTGTTGTGTTCTATCTTCGCCCACTGCAGCCTGTGAAATGCGCATTGGGGTCCGGCAGCTTTTGGAGTAGGCCAAATTCGACCGTGCACCGGGCAGGTTTTGGAGCTAGCAGCTGGCGCCGGGTGTTGGACTGGCCAGCCATACGTAGCTGGCTCGTGCGCCTATGTGGCGTTCGCAAGCCACACCAGGAAGCGCAGCCAACTCGCAGCAGGGAGGTCAAACCGCGTTGCGGAATTCTCGCCGCCGTGGAAGCTAGGACGGCTAGTAATTGAATCAATACAGACACGTCAATTGCACACGAGAAGATTCCTGTTGCTTCCAGTCCCTCGTTTCCACAAGTTTTCGCTCTCAGAGGTAGATTCCTTGTCTTCATCCTAGGTCTTAGCATTCTTCTCGTGATACGACCGTAGCTGGTGTCTGATCTCCGTCTTTGCGACACTGTTGGTGTCCATATCACAGGGCAATTGGCAAGATCCGTTTGATATGTGGTGTGACGAAGGGTCAATGGACTAGATATGAATAGTCTGTGTAGGCAGAAGAGGTGAGATTCTTACCACCGTGCAGGTTATCTGGGTGGCCGGGACTTGATAAAGCTACTGTTGGTGGCCCTGCGGCTGCCCCGACTTACGGCTGCCCTGACTTGGGCACCCGATTCGACAGTTGCATTGATGACATGGTGTAGGCATGGTTGGAAGACAGTGGTGTGACCAAGGAGATTTTGTGCTCCGTTTCCAAAATCGTGGCTGGGATGCTGGCGAGAGAAAGTTGGCACTATGTGGTCGCACTGGTAGGTAGGCTGATCAAGATGAAGGTGGGAATCCAAGGGAAGAGCGTATAGCTAGAGCGTACAGGCGAAGCTACGGATATCTTATGGTATGAGCTCTTGGACCGTGATGGCAGAGAGCTCTTCAAAGCACTGAAATCGAGGGTCGAATGGGGCTTGAGACTGCAGTGCTCCATCATCAGGACAAGGGGCCATTTGACAGGGCTGAACAGAGGAGAAGCCCAGGATGTTATCGAGAGAAAAGTTGCTCGAGTCCAGGTCCATCGCAGCATTTGAAAGGGGCAGCTGGTGCGCTCCAAGATGGTGAGGCGATCATGCAGGAGTTGGAGTCAGAAATGCAACGCTAGAGTTGTTCGACGGAATGTCGTGTGGTGGAGGAGTTGGTATGAAGATGGAGGGATTGACTTGGCTGATAATGGCAAGCCGTGTTCTGAGTTCTGGTGAGCATATCCCTATGGTTATCGATCCTTCATCCTGGTCAGACACAATCTGCGAGATTCTGCAGCTCAGGGTGTGATTGACCACCTCAGGTATCCATACTCTGGAGTGCCCCAAGATACCGAAAGAAAGAATGTGGCTCTGTTGACTGCGTGCCTCTGCCAGCGACGGGCACGGACGCTTACCTAAGTCACCATGCTCAACACCGCACGCCCAATTGCGCCTGGTCAACTGCGACCGTTGGCAATCTTCAATTGCAGTGTCAGGGAGGCGGAAAGCAACAATTGCGACGGGGCAGGATCACATATTCGGTGCTACCGGCCGCTGGCAGTGTCGCACAGTCAATTTAACCTCACTCAACACAATTCTCTCAATGCAGCTCAGTACGACAAAACATTTCTCACGGTTCAACACAGCTTTCTCAAGTCCCGGAATATCAAGTGAGCCAGGTCTTACACTTATCCACGACCATATTTACGCTTCTGTCCTTGCCATCTTCGAGCAATGTGGTGGCATCTGGGTGACTGACGAGTCTTGCACCCGGCACCAGCTGAGGGCTCCAAAAGCTGCCGGGCGCACGGTTGAATTTGGCCTACTCCAAAAGCTGCCGACCCCCCAATGCGCATAATACAGGTGGCAGGACTTTGGCCTGGGTTCGCTTACCTCAGCACAGCCCATCTTCAACCCCGAGTGTCTTGTGCATGTTCTTGGCATCCTTGACATCCGCCATAGCATTCTTCCTTTCCTTCTCAAAGCATCATAAGATCAGCGCCGCGAAGCCAACTGCCAACCACGCCGCGGAAGCCGAGGCTCCATTGCCGTCGCCTCCATCCAATTCCTTGACATCTCGACCCGGGAAGAGGCAATGCAATGTCTGCGTGTATACACACTTTGACGTCGCACCTTCTCGGTCGAAAGCACCCACCGCTTTCATCAAAGTCGTATCAGACGACACGGGGCAAAGTTGTTCGAACGAGCCATAATATGTTCTGTGTCTGCCGCAGCCCAACACATGACGATGTCGTCGTTAACCGCAGCCTGCATCTTTGTTGGTATACGCGTCAGCCTTTCGGCCGGTACGCAGCCTAATGATCTGGTATTGAACTGTTGTCGGATTGGAAGTCCCGTTCGACTGCGGATCGAGGACAGCGCAGGTGCCAGCTCGACCCTCAACTAGACTTCAATTGCCCTCCAACCTACGGCTGGAATCTCCCTTTTCCATCGTCACGCCGAATCAATCATTAGACAGCAGTTAATCCTTCGTCGCCCACAGAACCGGACGGTTCGAACCAGTCACCCTGTGATAGGGACACCTACAAACTGCATGTGTGTAGGGAAGGAGGCAGTTGGTGGGTAGAGCCCACAAACCCTCCGTTG